AAAAGAAAGACTAATAATCTCAAAACTTGCCAGCTGAGCATGAGGTCAGAATGAAGCAGCTAAGAAGTCAATAACCAGGGACAGGAAGAGTAGAGCATCCACAAAGAATGGTGACAAACCCAGGGAAGGGCAACAGCCCTGTAGCTCTGGGGGAGAATGGTTACTGGAGCCCAGTAAGAGGCAGACTGTGGAGGAGGCTACTAGGAGGGAGCACGTGTTGTGGAGGACTGCAACCACCTGAGTAAGAAGCAGGGGCAGAGGGCAGATCAGTACACCCTTCCATCCACTCTCTCTCTTTGCTCAGAGAAGCCTTCTCTGCCCAGCCCTGCCAATTCCAGTTAGGAGGGAGTCTACCTCCCTGAAAACAGTGCAGGGCAGGAAAGTTAACTGATGGGAAGACTCCTGAAAGAATAGGGCGTGGCACCATGTATTCATGCCCATTTGCCCTTCTAACTGGCTAGGAATATATGCACAATCTAGAAACCCATATTCTGATCCCTACTGGCTTACTCCTCCTTAGGCAGTCTGATGGTCCCCCACTTCCAAGGAGGCCATCATATTGCTGGTTTCATGTATTACAGGCTAGGGCTGAACACAATATGTAGAGGAGGATGACCTTGAACTCCTGATCCTCCTGCCTCCACCACTGGATTACACCACTGGATTACAGGCATGTACCACCAAGTCCGGCTCAGAAACCAGCATATTTGAGTCAAGATACTTCCTTATCCAGACTTAGTGCTAGAAACATGACTCAGGTCTTTGGGGTATGCACTATGAAGCCACACTAGGAGGGCTGACAGTCAAATGTGATGTGAGAAGTTAGCTTTAACCACCAGAGACAAATTTAATTGGAATCCAGTCCCAATCGGGAAAGTGCTGACTCAATCTCCAAATACCTCCAAGAAATGTAACAGGGTTCTGAACTAGTATGTGGTATACTAGTGTCGAAAGTCCGAATGGACAAGTTCTAGCAATTCTGGACGACTTAGCTCAACACTGAAAACGGACTCCCCTGCCCACACAAAGACATACATGAGGGAAGACTCACTTTTTTCTACAATCTTTAATTTGTGGAAACTTTCCATTAACTCTCCATTTAGCAGTCTGGGTAAGAAGTCCCGTATTTGCATCACTTCAGTCGTCAGCCGTTCCAGGTCCTTCTTTCTAACTTTAACAAATTCTTCTTTAGAGTCTATGTACTAGAAGAACAAGCAGATCTTAACATTGTAATACTTCTCTTCAGATGACCAAAACGAGCACCCCAAGTCAACTGGCTTCCTTTCCTTCCAAGCCTCTTACATTCATAATTGCCTCACAGGTTAAGTTTACATATGTACCTATGTGATGTTCAATTTGGGGTTTCGTTTTGTTTTTAGTTTTTTGTTTGTTTGTTTTGTTTTTTGAGAGGAAGTGTCTCACTATGTAGCCCTGGCTGTTCTGAAACCATGTAGACTATGCTGGCTTTAACTTTGAAACAGTGTGCCTGCTTCTGCCCGCCTAGTAATAGGGGTTATAGGCCTATTCCACTACCCCTGGCACCTGATGCACCTTGTTACACATATATAGATATAGATGTGTGTGTCGGGAGGGCGTGGGGGTGTATATACAGAGAGTCAAGGGTGATGGTGTACACCTATATTCCTAGCTTTTCAAGAAACTGAGGCCGAGGGGGCTGGAGAGATGGCTCAGAGGTTAAGAGCACTGACTGCTCTTCCAGAGGTCCTGAGTTCAATTCCCAGTACCCACATGGTGGCTCACAACCATCTGTAATGAGATCTGGCGCCCTCTTCTGTGTACATAATAAATAAATAAACCTTAAAAAAAAAAAGAAAAGAAAAAAAGAAACTGAGGCCGAAAAATGACTTTGCCCAAGAGTTCGAAGCCAGCCTTGCGCAGCACATCAAGACTCTAATTCAGTAAGAACACATATAATGGGAGAGGGGGTGTAAATACTGAAGGGCAAAAACCGCACACATGAGCCTAAAAGTCGAAGAAAATGCCTGCAATTTAACGTGCCCAGGGCCGACCAGCTCCAGGATGGGCTATGCCCACTACCGTCTAATGGCGTCACACCGGAAGTGGGCATCGATGAGGCCCTCTCTTGACCCGAGTCACCAAGCGTAAAACCCGAATGACTGGGTTCCCGCAGAGCCTCACGGCCGGTGACCTAGACCACTTTTCATCTTGACTGGGAGCCTTCGGGGGACTCGGAAACCGCGCACGCCTCGAGAGTCTCCCGCCCCGGCCCGCCCTCGCCCCTCGGGCCGCCGCTCCTGGCCTGGGCCGCCGCTCCTGGCCTGGGCCGCCGCACAGCCACAGGGACGTCTCCTCAGGCCCTGGACCGGCCCTGAGGGGAGCGAGCGTCGGCATCTCCCACGGACAGGACACCGGACCACCCCCACTGACCCGGCAGGCTTCCTCAATCCCGGGGCCCTCGCCCGCGTTCGCGGCCATGGTCGCAGCCTCGGCTGCTCCGTGCGCCTGCGCGGAGCCCTAGCCCACGCGCAAGTCAAGCAGAAAGCGCGGGAACTGGAAGATGCTGGGACCGGACGGGAAGCCGCGAGGTTCAAATCTCGTCGACTTTGCGCTGCATTCTCCGCCTCTGGGTCCAGGGATAAGGTTGACCCGAAATCTGCTGCCGCTCGTCTGCTTCGGGCGTGTGCCAAATCTGTCACCTGCAAAAGGAGGCCTGGGTGTCAAAATAGGCCGAGTCCGCCCTTTCTTGTTTCGTGAGAGGGTGCTACAGCGAAACCCACGCCCTCGTTGTGAGAAACCACGCGGCTGCCCGCAGAACACAGTCCCTGGGCCCAAGGCGCTTCTGTGTTGAGGGATGCATTTTTGTATCCGGTTATTCTGACCTGGTCACTGGGGTCTGGAGTAACCGAAGTTTGAAGCTGGATGGAGTGGTACGCGCCTATAACCCCAGCACTTGGGTGACGGAAGGAGTTCAAAACCAGCCTTGCTACATAGCAAGGGAGTCTAGCCTGGGATACATGGAGGAAAAAAAAAAACAAAATTAAATAGCCAAAGTTTGGAAGAATATCCTAATCTAATAATCCACACCCCCCTCAACGTGCTACTGAATCTACAGAATATATGTTTGATGACCTAGGGTTTTGGATGTCCCTAAAGTTAGCCTAATTGTTAAGACTTCTTTCTTGAATGGAGATGGAGGAGGAGAAGATGGGAGCGCGGGGAGGGGGGGGGTGGAGAAAAAGAGAGGTGGGGGGAAGGAACCAGAGGAGAGGAGAGAGGGGAAACTGTAGTAGGTATGGGTATGTAAAATAAATGAAAAACAAATAATTATAAAAAACAGAAGACTTCTTTCTTGTGGGATTAGTATGTTCCCACTTGTGCTGGGTAGCTTTATGTCAACTTGACACAAGTTAAAGTCATCTAAGAGGAGGCAACCTCAATTCAAAAAATGTCTCTGTGGGGCGGTGGTGGCGCGTGCCTTTAATTCTAGCACTTGGGAGGCAGAGGCAGGTGGATCTCCAGGTTCGAGGCCAGCCTGGTCTACAGAGCAAGTTCCAGGACAGTTAGGGCTACACAGAGAAACCCTGTCTCAAAAATCCAAATATTTAAAAAAGAAATTAAGAAGATGTCTCCATAAGATCAGGTTGTAGGCGGGCATGTAAGGATTTTTTTTTTGGGGGGGGGGATGTTCAAAGCAGGGTTTCTCTGTGTAGCCCTGGCTATTAATCCTGGAACTCAGTCTGTAGACCAGACTGGCCTGAACTCACAGAGATCTGCCTGCGTCTGCCACCACCACCCAGCTATAAAAGCATTTTCTTAATTAGTGATTGATGGGGTGGAGGACCCAGCATATTGTGGGTGGTGCCATCCCTGGGCTGGTGGTCCATTGTTCTATAAGCAGGCTGACCAAACCGTGAGGAACCAACCAGTAAGCAGCACCCTCCATAGCTTCTGCATCAGCTCCTGCCTCCAGGTTCCTGCCCTGTTTGAATTCTTGTCCTGACTTCAATGATGAACAGTAATATGGAAGTGTAAACCAAATTAACCCTTTCCTCCCCCAAGTCACTTTTTGGTCATAGCGTTTCATTGTAGCAATAGAAACCCCAAGACACCACAGCTCAGAACTTCGTGTTTTGCACGCAGGAGGACTTAAAAACAGGACCAAGTTCCCTCCCCGTTAGAGTCCCAAATCTCCCCCCCCCCCCGGCTTGCTGCCAGGGCAGGTCATTTCCCTCTATTGTCGGGGGACATCCCTGCACCTGACCCAGACGCTGTGGGTATGGGCTTGGTAACTCCCCAGTCAGCAAGCCTGCACCTGTCCCGAGACGCTTCAGGAGGGCTTGCTCTCTCGCCACTACACACCCCTGAATCTGTCCCAGGAACGGATTGCTCTCTCCACACGACAACCCTGACGTGCCCTTGATGCTGCAAGGACGGGTTGCTCTCCCTCCTCGCCAAACCCCGCACCTGTCCTGGAACGCTGCAAAGGTCTCCCCGTCACCTCTGCACCTGTCGCAGGACATTGGGGTGGGGTTGGGGGGACAGTCACTCTATAATGCCGAGCCTGCATCAGGACTCTAGGCACTACGCTGGGGGGGGGGGTGGAGACGGAGAAGCACTGCCCCTGTGTAGTCCTCAGGCCTGGGCTTCCTGGATTGACGGCCTTCCTTATGGGTCGGTCTCAATTCTGCCCAGGAGAGCTCGCGGAGCTCTGCAGACCCTGAGTGAGTGGAGGTCGCAGGGGCGCCGCTCCCCCGACGGAGCTTTGCTAGCTGTGCTTAAAACTCTAGACTGCGTCCAACCAGCCGTAGGCGGCTTCCTGGCGGGAACCTGGACCCCCACTAACCTCGACGCCAACGGCCCAGAACTCGGACCACCCACAGGACGTACCCAGGCAGCCCCGGCTGCAGCACCTACTCGCGCCGCAGCCACGCGGGCTCCCTGGGCGCGCTACAAGAGGCGCGTCTGTGACGCCATCACCCGCGCGCCGCTGCCCCGTGCGCAGGCGCAGTACAGACAGCTCGGCCGCGAGCGGCACGCGCGCAGCCCCGGGGATGCTGGAGCGGGCGCGATGGCTCCCGCCATGCAGTCGGCCGAGCTCCAGTTCGCCCAGCGGCTGGCCTCCAGCGAGAAGGGTGTCCGCGACCGCGCAGTGAGGAAGCTGCGGCAGTATCTCAGCGCAAGGACGCAGAGCGACACAGGTGCTGGCCGGGGGTCCGCGTCGCTGTGCTCTCTGCGAGGGTCGCGCCTGTGGGTGCGGGTGCGGCTGCTGCGGGCTGTGCGGCGGAGCTCCGGGTTCCAGCTCAGCTCGCCGAGGCTCATTTTTGTTTCTGGTTTCGTTCCTTGGACAGTGCCTGCAGGCGCTGGTGTGCGGGAGAGAGTTGAGGCTGCATTCCAGCCCCGGAGGAACTCTGGCAGTGTAGTGTCAGGACCTGTGGCAGTGGAGCGTGTGTGAATGCGGGAATGTACACCAGTAGTGTGGAAAAGTGCAGGAGAAAGTCTCTCCAAAGGAAGCCTCCTGTGTTCTGTGAGGCTTGACAGGAGGAAGCCAGCTAGGCAGACGCAGGAAAGAGCTAAGGGTGCCCTGGGCCAGTAAAATCAGAAAGTTGGCGCGCAGAAAGTTGAGCCTGGAGGCAATGTGGCCAGATCACTGGCTTTCTCATTTGGATTTCAACCGCCGTGGAGTGCATTGCAGGGTTTTACTTAAGTGATCCAGAATAGCTTTCTGTAACTCTTGAGTGAACACACAGGTCTGGACTGCAACATGCTGTAGAGGTTTTAGGTTGCAGCCAGTTGGCTAAAGTTTAAGTTACATGTTGCTAAATCTGCATAAAATTGAAGTACAGGCGGGGGGTGGGGGAGGCTGTAGAAATAGCTCAGCGGTTTAAGTCCCAGTACCCACATAGCAGCTCACAACCAGTTCGTGGACAAGAATCGCCCCTCTGACCTCTGCTGACACCAGGCATGCACGTGGTGCACATACATAGAGGCAGGCAAAACATACACCTAAAATAAATCTTTAAAAGTTTTTTTTTTTTTAATTGAAATCTGCCTCGTGTGATAGCTCTCTCCATTAATCCAAGCACTTGGGAGGCTGAAGGCAGCCAGGGCCACAGGAGAAGTAAGATTTTGTCTCCAAAAAAGAGAAACTTTGGTGAGAAGTCTGATAGAGGAATAAAAACTATTTTTTTTTTTAATTATTACGTGTGTGCACGTTCTGGCACTCATGTGGAAGTTGGGTTTTGAAAGTTGTCTGTCTTCCACCCTGGAATCCAGAGGTCAGACTCAGGTGGTCAGGCTTATGCACCAAATGCTAACTACTCACTGAGCCACTTTGGCCCCTGCAATCCCTCCCACCCTCAGGACGTTTCTGTTAAGGGTTGCCCCTAGAAATTCAGTTTACTCTCATGTTTACAAGTGTCCTGTATACGTGTGCCAGTAGTTCCTAAACCGAACTTGGTAGCCCAGGTGGGCTTTTGCTACCCTCCCCTCAGATTAGTGCTACTAGCCTGGTACTCCACCTGGCTGTCCCTTTAGTGCCTCAGTTTCAAAAATGGGGTCCACTCCCCCGAAACAGCTATTCTTTTCTGCTGCTCCTCTCCTACAGCTCATACTTCCTTATTTTTTCTACCACACAAGCCCACCGCATCGCCATGGACTCTCTTCTTCATCCTCCACTCCCACCCCACATTGCCCCTTTGTCCTGCCTTCTCAGTAACTCTGCCTTAACCAGATATTCCTTTATCTTACCTAGATTTCTGTCCTGTCTGTTCCCTAACTGGTCTCCTTCGCTCCATTGTGCCTTTTGTTTTTGTTCTTCAAGACAGAGTTTCTCTGTGTATCAGCCCTGGCTGTCCTGGAAACCAGGCTGGCTTCAAACTCCCAGAGATCCACCTGCCTCTACCTCGTAAGTGCTATGATTAAAGACATGCACCACCAAGCTGGGCTTCCATTGTGTTTCTTTAATCTGCCCTCCACAAAGCAGCCCAGGTCATTCTAAAACAAATCTCATGGGACCACTGCTTTCCTTGAAGGTCACCGTCTGTCAGTCATGATGTCCTCACCTGCTTTTCTAAGTCACTAGCAGCCAATAAAAACCTTCCTTGTAGGCTGAGGACACCAACCCACTTTCTCATCTCCTTGCCTTTTCATTTCCTGCTTGTTCTGCAAAGAATTCTACCCCTTCTCCCTTAGCAGTATCACTTCTGGGAAATCCCGCTTTAGTATCTTCCCCCACCTCCTGGTTACCTCTAGAGTTACAAAATATGTGTCCCTTTTGTGGTACTTAGATACATGAGAGGGGTGCTGTTTGTTTGATACAGGCTTTCCTGTAGCTATGATTGGTCTCTGTTAGCTATGTAACTGAGAATGACCTTGAACTCCTCATGGTCCTGCCTCAGCTCTGTACAGATAACTTTGTTTCTGAATTCTGTGGTTTATATCTCACACACACACACACACACACACACACACACACCAGCACTGTAAGCTCCCGTTTTCTTAGCCATAGGTAAAAGCACATGGAGCCTTAGGAGGGCCCTCAGGAGACAAAAGCAAACAAGTACACTACATCTGGACCTCAAACATCCAGAGAGCATGCTTCTCAGACCCCTTTGGAGACAGGCCCAGGACTTGGAATACTAAGATGTCACAAGGACCTCAAACCATTTGGCTCACACCAGTACCCCAGGATCTTTCCTGGTTAGCACCATCCCACCAGATTCGCTTATCTTGTTCCCCTGTTCATCATCATGGCCAGTTTGTGGAATATAGAAGGCCTTCAAGAAAAAAATAATAATAATAATTGTAGAGGGGCGGGGAAGATGGATCAGTGGGTTAGAGCACTTTGTGTGTGTGTGTGTGTGTGTGTGTGTGCGCGCGTGCGTGCGCGCTTGTGTGTGTCACGTGTTATTCCCTGCACCCACGTAGTGGCTCATAACCATCCATAGCTCCAGTTCCAGGGCATCCGACACTCTCTTCTGACCTCCGCAGTCACTGCAGAATACACATAGTACACATAGATGCAAGTAAAATATACCTATGTGTAAAATACTAACGACAGGGGCCAGGAACATGGCTCTATCAGCAATGTGCTTGGCCACATGCCTGGGGGCACCTGAGTTCAGGTGTTCAGCATCCATTTAAAGGCCAAGTGAAATCCTGGTGTAGCCTTGATGGCTAGACAGTGATGGCCAGATTGGTGAGTTCAAGGTTCATTGAGATAACCTGTCTCAGAAAATGAGTTGGAGAGCTAGTGAAGAAAATACCCGACACTGACTTCTGGCCTATGCATATGTGCATGCAAATGAGTAAAAGTTGCAGAATGACTGTCTTAGTGATCATGGGACAAGAAAACCCAAGTATCTGGCACTGCTCTGCCCCATCATAATAGAAGCACGAGGTGCCTCACACTTGGGTCTCGTCGACAAACTCAGTTTGTTTTGCAGCCTTGCGTCTTGTTGGGAAATCTGACGTTGGTCTTGGTGGAACAGTAAGCTGTCTGTCAGCGGCATAAATAGATAGCTCTGTGGTCTCTACTCTTGTGAGAGGGTCGCTGTGTATCTCATGAGCCTCGGAGTCTTCCTTCATAAATGCAGCACACATTAGTGAAGCACCACATGTCGTTGTGTACACTGCTCTTGGCGCAGGGAATAGAGCAGGGGACCAAGCAGGCAGTCCCCTCCTGTCTCGGCAGTTCTCAGCCTTAAACGTTTAACGTTTACTAAAGTCATGGTGCGTCTCGCAAATCAACCCTGTGGGAGTTTCGTTTGTGTCTTTGCTTCCTCTTTGTATCAGTCTCAGGGGTGTGTGTGAGGTAAGTGTGCTCTTGCACATAAGGGAGAGAAATGTGTACAAAAAGAAAACAACTTGATAGGATCAGTTCTCTCCTCCCATTTTTACGTATGTTCAAAAGCTGCAACTCTGGCCCTGAGGTTTGTGTGGCAAGAACCTTTACCTGCCAAGCCATGTATCTCCCCAGCCCTAGCTTCCTTTCTGGTGGCATATAAAATGACGGGATTTATGGTTGGCAGTGGCTAGAATTACTGAAGGTACTGTGGAAGTAAGTGCCTTTCCTACTGATGGAGTTAGGGCTCTCCGCCAGACAGTTCTGAAAAGGGGGAAGGTTTTGACTATGGCGTGGTCTGGATATATGACACTGTCCCCGTCCAGAATGGCTACTGTGTTCATTTCATGGAGCGAGTTGCTGTTGGACATTCTCATTTCAAAACTCTGTGGTATTTCCTGTGTCTTCATGTCTTATATTCATGTCATTCTTTTTAAAATAGCTAAATCTAAACTGTTGCCAGAAAGTAGGTTATATAAAGATTTAAAATTTGTCCGCAGCCAGGGCTGGTGACACTCATCTTTCATCCTTGAACTCAGGAAGCAGAGGCAGGCAGATCTCGGTAAGTTTAAGGTCAGCCTGGTCTACATAGTGAGTTCTAGGCCAGCCAGAAATACATGGTGAGACCCTGTCTCAAAAAAAAGGTATTCCTTGGTCAGTATGGTAATGATGCCTGTGATTCCAGAACTTGAGAGACTGAGGCAGGATTGTAAGTTCCAGGTCAGTCTGGTCTCAGAAAGACCCTGTCTCAAAATAAAGGGGCAGAGGAGGAGGGCCCAAAGATGGCTACTTAGTGATAGAGCGCTTGCCTGGCATCTGCTTTCAGTCCCCAGCACCTCAGAAAAACTTACCACCAAAAAGAAAGCATAGCTTCGAGAGCAACTCTCAACTAAAACTGCTTCAGATACTCACTGCATCTTTTGGGCTTTCAAAAGAGTCAAATACCGTTTTTTTCCATACCTCTTTAAGTACTTTAAAAATCAGTACCTGTTTTTACCAACCAAACTCCTAGGTGAAAATAGGATTTTTGTACATATTTTGAAAGGAGATATTTAGAGTGGAGGACTTGAACAGACCAGGGATTCTTAAAAATTTTCTTTTCACAACCCTTTACCTGAGAAATTTTACAGGACCCCAAGTATATATGCATATAAACTAGGTATACAAATGCAACATTAAGTGAGAGGATTTTATTTTTAAAAGGTCTGTCACATATATAATTTTTACCACCTATTAAAAATGAGAACAATATGCATACTAATAAGATAGAAGTGCTTGTTTATGCTGGGCCTGGTGGCCCCTGGGAGGCAGAGGCAAGTGGATCTCTGAGTTCAAGGCCAGCCCGGTCTACCTAGA